TTTTTGAGTTGTATGCATGTTTGTGCAGAAGTCAGAAGAGGGAATCAAATCTCTGGCTCTACAGTGACAGGATCTGCAGAGACTGTTGTGAGCTGACCATCATGGGTGCTGAGATTCAAATTTAGGTCTCCATGGCTGAGCAAGTGATCTAACCACTGAGCCAGCTTCCAGTCCCTGTGCTGTGTTTTATTTTATTTTGAAACAAGACCTTTCTGTTCGCCCTAGCTGTCCTGGAACTCACTGTAGGGCAGGCTGGCCTAGAACTTGCAGAGATACACCTGGATCTGCTGTGTTTTAATTGGTAGTTCATTGATGGCATGTTTTATCAAGCACCCTTTTATGATTGTTCAGGATGGAGCTCCTTTAAAGAATACGTTTTAAAATGTTCATCTCTCAGGACTGGACAGTTGTTAAAAGCATCAGCTGCTTCCCGGGTTCAATTCCCCACACCACATGGCAGCTCACAATTGTCTGTAAGTCCAGTTCCAGGGCATCCAGCACCCTTACATGTCCATACATGTGGGCAAAACACCAGTGCACATTAAAAGAAATATGTTGATCTCCAGTTGTTCATTACTACTTGTAGCAGTTACGTTTCTGTTCCTGGGATAAAACACCATGAACAAAGCCAACTTATGGAAGTAGTTTGGTGGTAGTGGTGCAGGGTGAAGACTTACGGTTCCAGAAGGAAAGTCCATAATGATGGGGGAGGCATGGCATCAGGCAACCAGAGCAGGAAGCTGAGAGAGCAAACTGGAAATGGAGTGAGGCTAATCTCACAAGCTCACAGAGTGTGGTTTTTTCCTTCTTTTTTTTTTTTTTTAAAAAAATAAGATTGGTTGTTTTGTGTTACTGTCACAAACTCCTGAGGGAACTGACTTATGAGGAGAGAAGTCCTATTGGCTCAGTTTCAGGGGTTTGGGGTCCTTGGTTGGCCCTGATGCTTTGGGTCTGGGGTAGGACCATAGAGGTGGAGGATGCTGCTAATTTTGTGACTTTTGGATTTTTGTTGTTGTTTTTGTTTTTTTGAGACAGGGTTTTTCTCTGTAGCCATGACTGTCCTGGAATTCACTCTTGTAAACCAGACTGGCCTCCAACTCAGAGATCTGCCTGCCTCTGCCTCCCAAGTGCTGGGATTAAAAGTGAGCATCACCACCTGCCATTTTGTGGCTATTGAAAAGCAGAGGTGGGAAGGGACCATGCTAGTGACCTGACTTCCTTCTAAGCTTCACCTCCTCTACTTTATAGCCCATCAGTGCTGAGAGTCAATCCTACCTTCTTTGATACACACTGATATTGATTAAATAGCTCTCCTGAAGTCAGTGTCATAGGTCATTGTGTGTGACTATACCAGAACACTTGAGTCTTGGTTAGCTAGCTGTAAAGTATAGAAATCTATTCCTTATAATTCCTGAGCCTGAAAAGTTCAGGGTCAAGGTATCATCCACTGTTGGGGGCAGAATGGAAAGAGAGGGCATGTGTTAGGAAGGTCGCCTCTGGCACTTCCACAGTGCATGTTAATGTGTTTGTCAAAGGCCTCACCTTCTTACAGTATCAGCGCAGGCTGTGTCTGCAGCATGGCTTCTGGGGGACATGAAGCCCAGGGCAGTCAGCTAGGCAGGCCTTCTCTCTACTTCAAAAAGGTCCCTCCCTCCCCTTCTGTCATCCCACAGGCAACACAAGCTCATCTCTCTTAGTATCAACCCTGAGAACTTGGTGACTGGCCCTCTGGGAGCTGTCCCTGCTGAACCACCCAGTCTCTTTAGTTATTCATCACATTGCTGGCTCTGCTGTTCACACTGGCTCCATGGGCTGTTAACTCATGTGTCCTCGTGGCTGAACTCTGCTCTCCTGGCTGCTGTCACGACCTCCCATTCCCTCTAGAGTCTAGAGCTAAGAAGAGCCCGTGCTTTTCTCTCTGCCTCATACCTGCTGTGTGGTGGCATAGCACTGTGTACTTCACACGGGTCCTCACCGCTGGTGCTGAAACTGAAATCCAGTCTTTATCACTTCTGTAATTATACATTAGGAGGTCATTTGATTACGGTTGGGTTTTACTATGCGGTATTTCATCTGCTGTCATGGTGAAGGTGACTTAGTTCCTAGAAGTACCCAGGCCACTGGTACTGGATGCTGGATGGCCAGCATGGGCTTGAAGCCTACCTCTGCTTTCTCTCAGCTTCATGTCCCTTTCCCAGGAGGCCAAATTCCTGAGCCTACCTCTGGCCCTCACTTAGTGGCCTTTCTGGGACAGCTGTTAAAATCTAGCCACCCGCTTTCTGTCTGCAGAATGATCTCAGCCAGTCCACCTTAAAAATCAGTGTAGCCCAGGCTAACTTCTGTTCTCCTTCCCGAGTCTCCCAGGTGCTAGGATTTTAGGTTGGGAGGTCCAGTGTCTCAGTTTCTTTTGGCCTCTGTGTGCTGCATTGTGGGCTTCCAAGTAGTACAAGTCAGAACACAGAGCTCCCTCACAGCTCCCGGCCATACACTGTGGTCTCTTGTTAAAGCTTGTTAGGTGTCTCAGCCATCCGCCCTCTTGCACCTCAATCTCTTGTCACTGAGGTCAGATTTGCTTTCATAACTTCCATCCTCTGCCCAGCACTTGCTGAACATCCATTGATTCCATCATCCGTAGCTGTTAAATGTAGGTTTCTGGGCTAGAGAGGGCTTAGTGGTTAAGAGTAAGTTTGGTTCCCAGCACCTACGCGGTAGCTCATAACGAACTTTAATTTGACTACAGCTCCTGGGGATATGATGCCCTCTTCTGGTCCCTGTTTATCCCTACACTCACATGGCAGACACATATATGCATACATATTACTAAAAATAAATCTTTTTGTAAAAGCACAGGTTTCCTGCATCCCCTAGGACCCCTGATGGTGGGTGCTGACTGTGCTCTGTGGCCTGCCTTCCCACAGTTCCCAAGAATACTCTCAGTGTAGGCTTCAGACCACATACTAGCTTTGGTACCACGACCTTTGAACAGACTAGATTTTGATGGCACCCACTTTCCTGGGGATGGGACGCACATGGAGCCAGCTTTCCCCTGGACAAGACAGTTCCTATTAGTCACACCTAGATGTGGTGTGACTGGCCTCTGAGTCGTCTCTGCTTTGGCAGCTTTGAGAAGCACGGTTTGGGAAGTCTAGTGGGAGGCCCAGCTGTTGCCTGTTTGGAATGGTGTCCTTTTCAGTGTGGTTTCAGAGGTGGTTTGCAGCATATGCTACTTGGGTACACTTTTCCTTGAGCCCCTGGGGCTGCCCTGCTGGCTGCCGGCTCCCAATGTCAGTGGGAACTGAGGACGGGATGCTGTCCTATAAATCATTTTCCTGTTTCTTCTGTCTAGCTCCTTCTTAAGACATTCTTGTGGCTTTCTGCTGTCTCATAAGATGACCAGGTGTGCATGCACTGCCAGCCTGTAACTGTCACCTGAGTTCTGAGAAGTCCTTGGGTGTTTCCCTGGGTTCCTACTGCTTCCTTTCCTCCCTCTGGGATTCCTGTCAGAGGCCCAGCTCTGTTCCGCCCTTCTGTTTCACCCCATTTTCAGTAACTTCAAGTTGTAATTGAACTTTGTTTTGGGCCCCAAGCTCAGAAATAACAACATGGAAACATATTATTAATTTTAAAAGCTTGGCCTTAGCCTAGACTTTCCCCCAACTAGCTCTTACAACTTAAATTAAGCTGTTGTTATTAATCTGCATTCTGCCAGAGGCTTGGTTACCTCTCCTCTGTATCATATGTCTGACTTATGGAGTGTCTCACTGGTGTCTCCACCTCTCTTCTCAGAGTCCTCTCTCTCCCCAGAAGTCTCGCCTAACCTCTTTGTGCCTAACTATTGGCCATTCTGCTCTTTATTAAACCAATCAGAGGGCACCTTGGCAAAGACACATCTTCACAGTGTAAATAAATATTCTGCAATATCAAGTCCCCCTCACTTCTGGTCTCCAGCCCTGTCCTGTCCTCTGGAATGTTCAGTGGTCAGTAGACTTCATCTCAAAGTTCTTCTGTTCACACCTGCCTGGACTGTTTCCATGTTATCTTGTAATTTGCTCTTGCTTGTCATCTGAAGGTTATAGTTTTCTAGATATGACACTTGTAGACGCTCACTACTTATCTGGAAACTCTCCTCCCTCCCTTCTCCCTTCCTCCCTCTTTCTCTCTCTCTCTCTCTCTCTCTCTCTCTCTCTCTCTCTCTCTCTCTTTCTTTCTTTCTTTCTGTTTATTTTTTTTTTTTGAGACAGGGTCTCTCTATACAGTCCTGGCTATCCTAAAACTCACTATATAGACCAGGCTGGCCTCATCCTTACAGAGATCCTCCTGCCTCTGCCTCTGCCTCTGCCTCCCGAGTGCTAGGATTAAAGGTGTGCCACCACATCTGTCTTCCTCATTTGTTTGTTTATGAGCCAAGATCTTGCTGTATAGTTCAGGCTGGCCTTAAATTCATAATAGTGCTCCTGCCTCAGCCTCCCTCGTGCTTTAAGTAAAGGCACGAGCCACTGCACCCAGTTTCTTTTTGCCTTTTCTGTACCCCCTGCCCCTTCATGTGGGGAAGAGTGTGAGCACCCTGAAGAGATCTGCCTTGCTACTTCCAGGAGTGCTGACAGCAGGGCCAACCTATGTGGTTCCCTGAAAACTTTCTTGCCAGTGTCCCGGGCCCTTTGTCCTCCCTGGTGCCTTTGCTCTGCCTGGTCATCTGCTCTTTGTTCACCTGCCCTTTGCCCTTTGCCTTGTGCTTCCGTGATAGAGTGCAGACTGCCAGTGGCCTCATAACCTACACTGCTGAAAGTTCAAGACATTCATCCTAGGAGGGCTAGGACAGTCATTTTCTCAGCCAGCACGAGTACCATTGGAACATCTTTCACACCAACAGTGGGAGATGACAACTTATGGATCCTGCTCTGCAAGGCTGGCTTTGACCTCACGGCGCTGATCGCTTCCTGCTGTATTGCCATGTGTGCTTGCATGAAACCTAGCCCATGTGTGGATATCCTTTCTCTTAGGTATTGCTGGAGGAAGCAAAGGACTTGCTTTCTGACTGGCTGGATTCTACAGGTGGCAGTGAGGTGACTGACAATTCTATTTTCTCCAAACTGCCCAAGTTCTGGGAAGAAGAGTTCCACAAAGACATGGAAGCCCTGAATGTGAGTGTCTTGGATTGCCTGGTCCTTGCTTTCTCAGGCCAAGCCCTGCTTTCCAAGTTCTGATTTTGGTAAAGCCACAAAGCCTGTGATCCACAGTGTCTTCATTTTGCAAGCTCGGTGAGTGGCTAAGTAAACGTTGAACTTGAATGATGGGTGAGGAGATGCTTCTCCTTGTTTAGTGGTTTCGTGTGTATTCCCATGCCTGGCACTTAGGGCTTCCTAGAAAAGAAGTCAGAAACCTGGAGTGGAAGCCAGCTGTGGCAACACACTCCTGTGTTCCCAGCACTCAGGAGGCAGAGGCAGGAGAATCTCAAGTTCATGGCCAGTCTGAACTGTGTTGTGTGATCCTGCCTCAAAAATAAAAAGCCTTTAATCCCAGTACTTGGAAGGCAGAGGCAGATAGATTTCTGTGAAAGACCTGGTCTCGGGGCTGGAGAGATGGCTCAGAGGTTAAGAGCACTGATTGCTCTTCCAGAGGTCCTGAGTTCAATTCCCAGCAACCACATGGTGGCTCACAGCCATCTTATAATGAGATCTGGTGCCCTCTTCTGGCATGCAAACATACATGGAAGAAATGTTGTTTACATAATAAATAAATAAATCTTTAAAAAAAAAAAAAAGACCTGGTCTCCAAAAAGAAAAAATGAAAAAAAGATAAGTAAGCAAATGGGGGATCAAGTGGTATAAAGGACTCTCAGAAGGCAGGACAAGTCCGCGTCACAGTCTTCATGACTGCCCAGAGGCCAATGCTCAGGTATCCTAAGCCTCCTCTGCCTACAGACCCAGACAGGGAAGGACAAGTCTTTAGTCTTCCCTGTGTTTCTTTTCCTGCTGAAACATTTTTCTAGCCCTTACCTTTCATTTTGAAACAGGGTTTCAATGAGTTTTCCATGTGGATCTTGAACTTGTGATCCTCCTGCTGTGGTCCCCCAAGTAGTCGGGATGATGTGCCTGTGCTGTTGATTCTGGCAGTCATGTGGTTTCCAGGGAGTGTATCAGTGGAGGCTGAGGTCTTCAGACTGGTTGGGAGAAAGCACTGAGACTCTGTCCCCACAGGTTCTCCCTCCTGATGTCCTAACCCGGGTCAGCGAGTATGTGCCAGAAATTGTGAACTTCGTCCAAAAGATTGTGGACAATGGTTATGGGTGAGCATGAGAAACCTTCCCTCCCCTCCCCTGCCAGGCCACTCAGCTCCATGGGGAGAGAGAGTCTAGATGCGGGGCCACACCTCTCTCCTCACCTGACCTAACTCTGCATTTCACTCCAGCTCTGCTGCAAGAACTTAGATTTCTATAAGGCTGGTTCATGACATACATGGTACATACCATTGTCACAATATTTAACTGGGAAAATTGAGTCAGGAAGCTAGCTCCTAACAGCCATTCTTTTGAATGTCGGGAAGCCTGTGCTCAGGTATCCTAAGGCTGCTCCCCCTGCAGGCCCCAGGCTGGAAAGAAAGGTCTTTCTGTCTACCATGTGACTCTTTTCCTCCTAAGTCAGTCAGGGTGGGGAACATCATGCTACTGAACAATGAGAATTATTCTTAGTGGCCCGGTGGCCTCTCCTGGGTGTTATCAGAAAGACCTGGCCCCATTTCTGCTTGAAAGCTTTTCGAGTTAGGGTTAAGTCATTGGGGCCAGAGCGGCATGATAGTAAGCTTGGACGCTGCATGTCCCTGGAAACGTCGGTACTATTCAAACCCTTTGTGAGTGTGTGTCCTATTACCTGGCTGTGATTTTAGTATAGGCATTACCCAGCTCAGGGTTACTGCTACTGCATGTCCGACATGCTAGAAATGCTGACTGACATGCCCGCATTGCCAACATTAATTAGCCTTTTCAGGGGATCCTCAAAGGGAGTTATAGACAGGGCCCTGGTGCTGCAGGCAGCGCTAGGCGCCCACTGACTACACTACTGGACCTGGCCTCAGATCACTTCTCTACTCTTTGGCTGCACAGGCTAGAGAAGAGTGGACTGTTCACGGTGCCTGCTACAGCGCTACCTCCAAAGTGACAGTGCTACCTCACCCCACATGACAAATGGCTACAGGGCAGCAGAAGACACTGGTCCAGCCAAGTGGCAAGCCTGGGTCAGAGAGGACACCCCTCTGTGCTAGAATATGCTAGAGACACATGGAGAGCCATGACAGGATCACAAAGTAGAATATACAAATACACACACACACACACACACACACACAGAGAGAGAGAGAGAGAGAGAGAGAGAGAGAGAGAGAGAGAGAAGGTGTATCATGTGGGGTTATGTGCTACAGTACACCAAGCAGGGGGTCTGTATGGGACACCCTGCCTGACACTGAGGCTGGCCACCTCTGCCTCAGGCGGCATCCCTGTTGTTCCTACTCACCCTTGGAACTCTGGCTTCTGACCAGCTGTGGAGAGCAGAGCCTCAGTGGCCTTGGCCCTTGGCTCTTCGCAACCCTCCAGGCTTTCCTATCAGTGTTGTGGTATGTCTGAGAGCCGTTCTTCTTGTTTCCAGCTATGCTTCGAATGGGTCCGTCTACTTCGACACAGCCAAGTTTGCTGCTAGTGAAAAGCACTCCTATGGGAAGCTGGTGCCTGAGGCCGTTGGGGACCAGAAAGCTCTTCAGGAAGGGGAAGGTAAGAGCTCCCGGAGCACATGTGGAAGCAAAACTAAGTTGTTCTTCCTCACTCACAGCCTACACCAGGTCTCTTCCTCTGGGTCATGGTGGATGCCCATGTACACTACACAGACACATGGAGAGCAGGCTGCTTCCCCTAAAGGAGTCTCAGGGGTTTTCTGCTCAAGATAGCGTCACTTAAGAAACAAGTTAGCGCTACATTGTCCTGACACGGGAGTCCTGGGCCTTCAGCTGCTGTGGTAGGCACTTGGCAGAGAGGCCCTGGACCTGGCCCTAAGCTATTCTGATAGGGCACCAGACATGGAGGCCTCATTGTATGGCTTAGATGTGTGTGCAGTGATGTGTGTTTGGCAATCTGTTGTTTGTTTGTTTTTTTTTAAGATTTATTTATTTATTTATTATGTATATATACAGTGTTCTGCCTGCATGTATGCTTGCGTACCAGAAGAGGACACCAGATCTCATTACAGATGGTTGTGAGCCACCATGTGGTTGCTGGGAATTGAACTCAGGACCTCTGGAAGAGCAGTCAGTGCTCCCAACTTCTGAGCCATCTGTTCAGCACTGTGTTTGGTGATCTTGTTTCAAGTGTTTTAAACATAGGTGTCAGTGTTTTCCTGGATCAGGCAGGACCACGTGACAACATTGTTCAGAAGTCTTTGCAGTGAAGCTAAGGACTGTCTCACAAAACCCAAGGTTGGGAAAGCACACCATTGAAGTGAGGAGAAACTTTTATGCCAGATATCTCCCACTGACCCCTTATTTCTAGAGGTCGAATTAGCCATGAAAATGTAGGCTTTGTATAGAAATATCAGCTGTGGGGCTCTATTCTAAAGAAATATCAGAATTTGAAAAAACAGAAAATAAAAAGTTAGAAAAAAGCTGGGCGGTGGTGACGCATGCCTTAAATCCCAGCACACAGGAGGCAGATCTCTGTGAGTTTGCGGGCAGCCTGGCCTACAGAGTGATTTCCAGGATAGCCAGATCTGTTAAAAAGAGAAACCCTGTCTCAAACCCCACCTCCCACCCCCAAAAAATCAGAATTGAAAAGTTTAACAAACAAAACACAGAAACCTTGACAAGAGAGAAGCTAAGCCAGTTCAGCTTTGATACTGGGCCCGGTGGTGAACATGTGTCGTGTTTGGTATGAAAGAGGTGGCTTTACAGTGATAAAGCTGAGAGGGCTCCAGGGCCAGACACCGACACAAGCCTAGAGCCAGCCTTACATATTTTGCAGAAACACAGAGGCTGGGAGGCAATGGTTAACAGCGGAGCAAAATTTCAGATATACTAACAGACATGGTTGAAGGAATCAAATTACATCTTCCCCTGTTTAAATTTTGTTTTTAATGTATATAGTATTTGCTTACATGTATGTCTGAGCATCATGTGCACCTGGTGCCTGAGACAATTTCAGGTGTCAGACCCCCTGAAATTGGAATTACAGATGGTTTTGAACTGCCATGTAGGTACTGGGAACCGAACTCAGGTCCTCTCAGAGAGCAGCCAGTGCTCATAAACACTGAGCCATCTCTCCAGCTTCTGAGATCTTTCCTTTTAAGCCCCCAGACCATAGGCCAGGTACAGAAGAAAGTTTGAGTAGTCCCAGATAATCCTTTTATTGTCCGACCAAGGTGCAAGTGTGCAGGCCTTCGTGCTACAGGGATGGGAGACTGGCAAGCTACCTGAGGTTTCTACTCCTGAGTCCCTTGGAGACACAGGAGGCAGGTGTGATGCTGACCACCAAGCATGTGTGGCTGTGAATAAGCCAAGAGAAAGGAAATGAGCCAGGCAGTCAGGCAGAAAACTAGCAGAGAAGGGCAGTGCATGGAGAGCCAGCAGAGGAGCAAAGGTAAAGGCAGGTTAGTGGACGACTTTGTAAGCTAGAAGCTGTCTCTCCGCAGACAGAAACATGGAAAACCTGGCTACCACCTAAAGTGTGGGAAAGAGGCCTGCTGAAAGAGCTGATGTGGAGCCTCAAGAACTGTGGTTCTGGCTGCTTCTTGCTGACAGATGAGCAGCAGGAGAACGGGAGTCTGGCTGAGGTCTGTCCTGGGTGCCACATGTATCTGCATTTCTCTTGAAAAGATTATTTCATTCTGCACATGAGCGCACCAGATTGTCTCTGGGCCAGGAGTATGATGGCGGAGTCCTGCCAAGTGTTCTACATTCAGTACATGTCCCACATCTGGGGCTGGTGTTTCAGGATACCCTAGCAGTGCCTCCCTCCGCCACAGCTCAGGGGCGTCAAGCCTGGGCACTCCGTTCCTGAAAGATGGAACTGCATTCAGATCCCAAGTTGGCCTCCTAGAATAGCAAGTGTCCTTCCTATTCCGGGGTTCCAAAGGACTCCCTGGATGCAAGGATCAGGAAGATGCTTGCAGTTCAGGGCCTATGTCTGGGGTGGAAAAAGGCGTTCACTCTATCCATTCACCTTACATAGGCTTGTTCATCATTGTTGGGGACCAAGTTCCCATCTCCGCAGCAGCTCTATCTACAGGTCCTTCATGTTCTTGGTGACAGTGCTATCCTCCTGGATCTCCAGCCATCTTATACTTGTGTGTTGCTGTCCAAGTGACTCTGGCTAGTGGTTCTCTCCACTACCCCATGGGGGTCTCAGAGGATCTGGCTGGAAATGCACCCAGCACACACCTTGTTCACATGACTGAGGCTACGCCTCAATGGGTTCACCTGGTGCTTTGGGAATGCAGGAGGGAGTGTCACCACTGACCTCCGCTTCCACAAAGTGGTGCACAGCAACTCAGCCATGCCTTTGCACTTCTGGAAACCAGCATACTGGCAGCTATGTGTGTTGTTGACCCTGGGCGCACCAGTGAGCCACACACCTTAGCTTCAGTCCAAAGTGCAATAACCTCTCCTATAGGTATGGAGTTTAGAGCTGAAGAGTCAGGTTTGTCTCTAGGACTACCAAAGTAGCTGAGACTCTGGCTCAGAATCAGACTTAAGAGCTGATAGTAGTGATTGTGTTCATGTCTGTCACAAGTTAATTGGTTAACAAGAAAGATTGGCCATAGACACACAGAGTGGCAGTGAGGTAAGGTGCTGACACTCCTATAGGCACCTGTGAATGACCCTGTCCTCTTCTCTTAACCATTCACACTCACAGGTGACCTGAGCGTCTCTGCTGACCGCCTCAGTGAGAAACGTTCTCCTAACGACTTTGCCCTATGGAAGGCCTCCAAGCCAGGAGAGCCGTCCTGGCCTTGCCCCTGGGGAAAGGTGAGTGAGCCACTGTTGGGATCAGGGACAGTGAGAAGTGCTGGTGTCACAGGCTGCTAACATAGTTTTCTGAGCCCTCTAATAGGTAGCTCTGATGATAGGGTGGGTACTGGGACCAGACCAGGTGTCAGAGCAGCACAGAAGAGCTGCAGGCTCACAGATGCTGGGCCTCTAAGTTAGCGGCTTATCTTCTCAGGACTCGGTCTCCTGATCTCTAAGTGGGTGCAGTCCAATTAGTTGCCTCAGGCTTCTGCTCTGGGTGTCTATGCATGTTAAGTTGATGTTGTTGGCATTGGAAATCCAGATGACTATGTGACAACCTTGTGACAAGTATCGTGTGTGTGACTATTTGCCACTTGTTGAGTGCTTGGGGATCTAGAAATAATTCCCAGGATTTAGCTAAGCCACAGCCACAGAGACTGAGTTTGAGCTGTATAAATAGATTCTCCTTTGGTTTGTCCTGTGAAGATTTGAAACCACTGCAGTGAGATTCAGAGGCTTAAAGGTCATTTCCTTGAGTGAAGTCCTGGGCAGGTTTGGAGTGGTCAGCAGGGCCCTTTGTGTCTCTCTAGGGTCGTCCGGGATGGCACATAGAGTGCTCCGCTATGGCAGGCACACTCCTGGGAGCCTCAATGGACATTCATGGCGGAGGGTTTGACCTTCGCTTCCCCCACCATGACAATGAGCTGGCGCAGTCAGAGGTAGGTAAAAACAGGTTGCCGTGATAAAAAGGGAGCATGATGTCCTTCCTGCTCTGCTGGAGAGACAGCAGCAGCACCCGAAGGAAGAATCTCCTGATGAACTTGGCTTCCATCTTGGGAGCTGAGGGAGAGTTGCATCCTAATCATTTTGTCTGAATCCCAGTGGTAACAGCCTTGGCCTTTGGTAACAGACAGGCTTAGGTTCAAACCAGTTGTATCCTGCTGACGTTGTCACCAGGGCGTTCCCTTCAAGCACCTGGTGCTCCTCACTTAGGAGAGGTGTCATCTACCTCATTCATAGTGCACACAGCAAGACACCATGCATTCATTGTCCAGAACCTTCTGACAGGTGAGGCCTCACTACAGCAGCCAAGCCTTCCTTCTGTCTCTTTGTCCTCAGGCTTACTTTGAAAATGACTGCTGGGTCAGGTACTTTCTGCACACGGGCCACCTGACTATAGCAGGCTGCAAGATGTCCAAGTCACTGAAAAACTTCATCACCATTAAAGACGCCTTAAAGAAACACTCAGGTAAGCAGAACCCCTGCAGAAATCCATGGTGCGGGTACCGGCAGCTGCTCAGGAATAATGGGAGTCATGTGTCTGCTCCCCAGCTCGGCAGCTGCGGCTGGCATTCCTCATGCACTCTTGGAAAGACACACTGGACTACTCCAGCAACACTATGGAGTCTGCACTTCAGTATGAAAAGTTCATGAACGTGAGTGCCCAGTTCTTGCTGGAGGTGGAGGGCATTGTGAGTGGTTTGGGTCTTCTAATATAAACCAGGGCACAGTGGTGCCATTTGGTGCCCCTTCCTGGAACTGATAGCTGCAGAGTGAAGGCCATGTTCACATGTGGAGGCTTCCTGCCCCGGGAGTTGTAATGTTTCTGTCCCAAGGAAGAAGTGTTCTGTCTTTTGGACCTGTGTGCATTGTGCTGACAGATCTCCCCTCAAGTGGCATCATGTCCGTAGAATGTCAAGTCTCTCTAGGTAGAAGGTTCTTCAAATGCCATTAACCTGACTTCTGTAACTTTAGGAGTTTTTCTTAAATGTGAAAGACATCCTCCGAGCTCCTGTAGACATCACTGGTCAGTTTGAAAAATGGGAAGCTGAAGAAGCGGAGCTCAATAAGAAGTAAGTTGGAGCCTTTTCCTTGCGGGAGGGAGTAGGTGTGTGTGTGTGTGTGTGTGTGTGTGTGTTCTGGGCCACCAGCTGAGGGTCTCTCTGCCATGGCTTGCCCTGTAGCTGATGAGGCCAGCCCTGTCACGTGTCAGAAGTGCAGTACCTGCTGATGGCAGTGATTCTGACTGTTGGACTCGAGGTCTTCTGCAGTGGAGCGTCAGGTTTGACCATTGCTTTCATTTTTCTTCCTTACTCAGCTTCTATGACAAGAAGACAGCAGTTCACGAAGCCCTGTGTGATAACATTGACACACGCACTGCCATGGAAGAGATGCGGGCTTTGGTCAGTCAGTGCAACCTCTACATAGCAGCCAGGAAGGCTGAAAGGAGGAGGCCCAACCGGGCTCTGCTGGAGAACATTGCCATGTACCTCACCCGCATGCTGAAGGTGAGCCTGGAGACAGACCCATGAGGGGAGCTTAGCTGCTGAGTGATGCTGGAAGCTGCCCAAGCTGCCTGACACCATCCTGGTCTAGGGCCTCTCTGAACTGTGGTTAAAGCCTCAGAGCCTTCTGTAGTCGCAGCTGTTGGTCCCTGCTAAGCAAAGGCCAGTGATAAGACCTTGACTCTGAGCAAGTCTTGTGCAGAGCAATTCTGGCTCCAGGCCACCATACCCTGAGACAGCACTCCCTCCCAGACCAGAGGGACGTTCCCTGCCTCACCCTTCTGTCCTTGTCATTAGTCTCTGGTGACTTTTAGCTGGAAGAGGGTCGGATCTGTAGCTCTGAGCCAGGGCACATTGTGAATGGATGCAGGTACCTTGGGATGCGGTTATAGGGCTTGATGCTGCTCTTTCCTGTTTCTCCACAACCAGTTGTGGGGACCCACCTGGCTGCCTGTCCCCAGAGACGTCAGGACAGTCCTTGAGCTACTAGCCATAGGTGACACCTCATCTCTACATATATCTTGTTCACCCTACAGTTTAAGTCCTATCCATTTCTTCCCTCAGATCTTTGGGGCCATAGAGGAGGAGAGCCCCCTCGGTTTCCCAGTTGGTGGACCTGGAACCAACCTGAATGTAAGTAGAGTGCCCAAAAGGGTCCCCAAGTGACCTACTGCTGCCTCCCTCTGATGCTCCCCTGTCTGCAATACCTTGAGGCCCCCCATCCTTTTTCACAGTAGTTCTCTGTATGCATGTCTACCTGTGTGTCTTTGTGTGTGTGTGAGAGAGGTCAGAGGTCAGCCTCAGAAGCTACCTGCCTTGTTTTTGGAGATCAGATCTGTCATTGACCTGGAACTATTAGGCTAGACTGTTTTGCCATCGAGCTCCAGGTATATCACCTGTCTGCATCCCCGGCACTGGGATCATAAGCCTGTCCCATCACCCTGGCTTTTTCATGTAGGTGGTGGGAATCAAACTCGGGTCCTTAAGCTGTCCCAGCAGCGCTTTACCAACAGCTGTCTCCTCAGTCCTACTTTAGAAATTCTAAGTCACCTCGAGGTTGTTTATATTGTGTAGTTTGGGGAATGATGGTACATGTTCAGTACAAACACACAATTGTTTTTCCTCTGAGTATTCAACCTGAAAATATGGAGTGTGGATGCTATATAATCAGTGGGCATATTCTGAAAGGCCATGTGATCACATACCACAGTGGTATTTTGGGGGAATTTCCACCTTCCCTCTGCCACTCAGAACTGGGCAGAACCCCGTGCCAGGCTAGGTCCAGTTCTCACATCAGCCCAGAGCCCACCACATAGCCCAAGCCTCTGTTCCAGCAGCCAGTGCCAAAAAAATGGAAAGCCATGGTCCCATAGAGCATCCATGTACATTCTTAAGCATACAAGGAAGCCCCTGTTAGAGCAGTCCCATGTCCACAGCTGGCTTCAGCATTTGCAGGTCTAATGGGCTGACAGACACACGTGTCAGGAATAGTCCTCTGCAAGCTGAGGACAGCTCATTTAAGATTCCCCTCCGCCTTCCTTCTGCGGAGAGTGCTCTTTAATTACGGAATTAAGACAGCGGATATAAATATTTAGATGGAGCATCTGCTGTGCTAATGCCAACAGTAGCCCAGTACACATGGGAAGACAAAGCTGTCTCAGCACTGCTTCCTACTGAAGAGCAGCCAAGTAGTCCCTCCTCCGCACAGGGCTGTCAATCCCGAGTCCTGGTCCCATGAAGGAAGAGGTCTGTTAGTCTCAGAGTGAGCTGTTTTGGGGGTGGTGGTTTCTGAACTTTGCTGATAGGAATCACTGCTGGAGGCTGGAGCTTTAGTTCATGCAAAGCTCCTCTGTCCTCTTAACAAATATGCTGCCAGCTTTCTTTTTTAATTGTGTGTATCTGGGGGCGGGGTGTATGCATATGAATACAGGTGTCCTCAGAAGAGGTCATCGGAGTCCTTGGAGCTGGAGTTACAGGTGGTAGTGATATAGGTGCTAGGAACTGGATCCTCTGCAAGGCCCTTGCGTGTTGAGCCATCTCTTCAGCCCCACTCATTTCTCTGAAAGCAGAAAACAAGACATAGCTCCCATGGAAATCTTTCTGCCTCTGAACTTAGAAGTAGCTTTTAGTCTCCAGCAGTGTTATGGTCCCCGGGAGGCATCTTAGAGTATGTCACATTATATATCCCAGATGGTCTCATTAGCCCCTGAAGCTGACTTATAGGAAACAGCAGTCACTAATGAACATGGTAAGCATGTGAGGCCACACATCCTGTTCCACAGCTCCCATTGTGAAGGTCGGGGTGACTTCCAGGTTAAAAGTGCTGTGTGAGCCAGAGAGGCTGACTTGGGCCTAAACCTCTCATACCCAGGTAGAAGCCAGGCAGCAGGATATCAGCCCCAGAACTGTTGGAGACAGACCCTGCCCTCTGCCAAGAGGCCTCTTTGGGTACTGGGAGCCAAGTTGGTGGTGTGGTGACTGGCCTAGTTAAGCTGTTCAAGGCGGTTGGAGATAAGGTCTAATTCCACTCTAGAAGTCCAGAGCCACTGCTGTAATGAGACAGTTTCCCTCAGTCTGTTTGGGGGAAGGTCAGGCCTACTTAGCTCAGACGTCAGGTCTCTCCTTCCAGCCACTGTTTCTACCACTTCCTTATCTTGGTTCTTGAGCTGTTATGTAGTTGAGACACAGGAAGACCCTGCTTAGAAGTCCCAGACATTTTTGGTCCTGGAGATAGAGAAATACACTGAAAGATGGTTCTAGAGGTCCCCTGGTTTTATCCTCGGTGTCATTGGAGATCGTGGCCCTTTGTACAGCTATTAGTGTGTGTGTAAGTTAATAAGGTGACTAGCCCTCAGCAGGCCCACAGGTGGCCACAAATGGTCAGTGCATCCTGACAACCCACTGGAGACGGAAAGGATAGGTGTCTGGCAGCTGTGTCTGTCCCGAGAAAAACACATGTGTCAGCAGTGGACAGAGTAGTGTCTGCTGAATGTATCTAGCTTGAAGCCCAAAGGTGCTTTTTTTTTTCTCCCTGGCCCACATCACCTTTATTAAGTACTAGGAACGGAGGTCAGTATTATGGTGGCTAGCTTCTTCAAGCTGTCCAAGAGGGCTGTAGATAGGGTCGAACTCCGCTCTAGCACATGTAACTCTCTTACCCCCTGACAAGACAAGGACTTGTGGGCTTCAGGACACAGGATACAGCAGCATGGAACCTGTGGTATAGCCACTGAACTGCTAGGTATTCTTTTACAAATACAGCAACTGCTCTTGTGACTCAAAGTCATTCTTTCCACAGCTCGAGTCCACCGTCATGCCCTACCTGCAGGTATTGTCAGAATTCAGAGAAGGCGTGCGGAAGATTGCCCGAGAGAAAAAAGGTGAGGCCCCATGCTGGGTACCTCACCCTTGCTGCTCACCCTCTGCTGGATTCCCTATAATAACTGCCATGTTCTTTAAGTGTGTATAGCTTCATGCCTAGCTGAACCTGTTTTATTCCACTGGCCCTTCAGGGCAACATTGTACTAGGTCAGAGTTTCCTTTGACTTAGAATGTCTCAGGCAGAACTGTTCCTTGGTCCTGAGGTCCAGGCATCTGCATAGCTCTTGTTCTAAACAGAGGCAGGATAGAGGACCTGTTCACAGCTAGCATGCACTTGCCCTTTGGCTTGCATTGGGTCTCCTTTCTGTTCCTGGTGACCCACGAGTGGCTTATTCTGCTGCAGTCTTAGGTTGCTAGGAAAAGCTCCTGCTGGGGCCAGAACTAGAGTCATGTCTCTACCCAGCCTGGTGCATGGTGGTGCCAGGCTGTCTGTGCACACCCATCCCGTCATCTCCAAAGTGAGGAGGTGTATGGTTTGAGAGACACAGGATTACTCAGGGTGTCAAGAGCCACACTATCATTTGTGCCAGGGGAATCTCCTGCTGCTGGCACCGGTATCCCCAGGAGGTACCCTGACTTGGAACCTTGTCCAACAGAGGTTTCTTTGCCTTACTAGGCACCACACTGATTACAAAGTGGCTTGCTCCTCAGCAGGAATGCTACTGGCTATGGCAAGGGTGGCCTCCAACTCAAAAGAGCCTCTCCTGCGCAGTCCTCTAGTCGACTTCCATCCTGGCCCCAGACTCAGCATCCAAATTCAAACCTAAACTTCCATGGCACTGGGGACCCCAGCAGCCTGGGCTGTGTCCTCTGTGTCATGTAGGTGGCAGTACCAGGCTTCTCCCAGTAAGGGACTAGACTCAGGCAGGCATATCAAGGTGGATAATGTGTAACAAAAGCAATCTTCAGATCAGATCAGCTCTCTGCATTCGGTGCAGCTTTCTTGTGCAACTCCACCACCCATCACTGTCACACAGTGCTGCTGTGGCTGCGCAGACTGCCCCATTGCAGCGTGTCATGGAGCATGGCATCTTTGAGGTTTGTCTGTCCATGCCACAGCTGGCATCTGTTCTGTTCGCTCTCAAGGCTCAGTGGAGTGCTGGCCCCTGTCCATAGATCTCACTGTTCCTTGTTTGATAGTCGTTGTGAACGGTGCTGCCGAGGTCAGCATGCCAGGCACTCAATGAAAGTGGATTTCGGTTTTCTAGGCTTGCCCATGGGAGTGGGAGTATAGGGCACCTGGGTCCCTAATGGCAAGTACTAAGGAGATGCCAGCTTCTTTGTGGGGCCTGGGCTAAGCCATGCTCCTGACCAGGTTCTGGCTTCCTACCTCCTACTTTCTGGATCAGTTTCTATCTCTACCTTTCTAGTTCTACCTTTCTCTCTTTCCTTCTCTTCCACTTAAAAAGCATGTGTGTGCCTTTTCACACATGTGTGGAGGCCAGAGGTCAAGTTTAGGAGCCATCCACTTTATGAGACAGATTCTTTCACTGGGATCTGGAGTTACTGATTCAGCATGACTAACTGGCCAGCATGTACCAGAGACCTCCCTATTTCCATCTCTCCTGTGCTGGGACTGTAAACTCACAACACCATGCCTGGCTTTTTCCGTGAGTGCCGGGATTTGAATATGAATCTCCATGCTTATGAGCTGTTACTCCTCAACCTCTCTGTCATTTTTAAGGCCAACTTGGAAGGGAGCCTACAGACTGCAGATGTCCACATTTCTAAACAGTTTGCCCCTTAAGGAGTTCCTGCAACAGGACTGGCAGGCAACCTGATTGACCCATGCAGTCTTATTTCACGTGCCCTGCACAGCTGTGAGGTTGTGGCCATAGAGGGACTAACCTGACCCTTGGGTGCATTTCCTTCACCCATTTCCTCCACCCAAGGGAAAAGCAGATCTTTTGAGGCCAGAAGACCATCTAGGATCAAAGCCTTTAGGATTCTTGGTTCCTAAGTGCAAGGAGAATTGGAGTTTCAGCCTGAGCAGATTAGGAATCTGTGTAGTGTCTGCTGTGGACCATGGGGCTGGCCTTACAAAGTCCAGTCCCTTTCTTGAGCTCTTGGCCTTCCAGTATCTACCCTTTAACCCACCACAGAGAGGGTAATGCATCTGGTCACTGAAAGTCCTAGCCCGGCAGAGAAACTGACTCAGAGGCCGGGAATGTTTAAGCCTTCAGTGGCCACACCCACAGTCCTCTGATTCCCACCTGCTCCCCTGCTCAGCTTCTCTGTCTCCTGCTCTTGGCTTTCAGTCTTTCCTGTTTGTTGTTGTTCAACCTTGGGGCAGCCATGTCTTGTGACTGAGCCAGGTCTAACCAGGCTCACCGAGCTCCCTGCTGAGCCAGATCCAGTGTCATCCATGTGCTTGTATGCGGGTTCCTTTTCCTGTCCATATCTGTTCCTGGTGGTCAGACTATGCTGACATCTCTAAGTGAGGCAGGCAGCAGCTAGAGGGTCACCCCAACCTGGACCATGGACACCTGTCGCTCCAGCTACAGTCTGATTTGGCAGGGCATTCAGAGCTGTGGGGGCGGGGGGCTGGGTCTTCTCAAGCACCCAAGGAGCTCTCAGTCCTCAGACACATGCACAAAATTGCTGAGGTAGGTCCATTGAGGTGACGATATTAGGGGAAGAAAGAGTCCTTCGGGACATCAGGATGACTCAGGGCAGAACCTTGAATATGTGTGGCATTGGCCTGGAGTCCTGCATGAGGGGACATGGCCTCAGTACTGAGCCAGGCTAGTGATGACCAGGGCTTTGAATGTTATGGAGCCTTGTCATTGTAGGGCAATGGCTCAAGGCAATCTGATTTCTCCCTGCTCAGCATCTCTGGGAATAGTCCACAGAGTGTTTCAGACAGGTCCTGGCTCCCAGCACTGGGCTGCAATGTTAGAACAGCTCACTGTCCTTGTTGGACCCTGTGGGCTCACCATGAGAGTGGCTGTGGGACCTTGGACTTTGGTGGTGGTGGTGGCGGCATGGGGTAGCCTCCTGTCTTCTCTATCCTCTCTCCAAATCTGGCAGTCAGTACTCACTTGGCAGCACTGGAGGAAGCGTGGGTTTGGGAGGGCCTAGGCCTTCTGTAGTCTGAGGGAGTTGCTCTTTCTTGCCTACAGTCCTTGAGGTTCTTCAGCTCAGTGATGCCCTCCGGGATGACATCCTGCCTGAGCTCGGGGTGCGGTTTGAAGATCATGAAGGTAGGTGATTCCTTGAGCTGCTCCCTGTGGACAGGGCAAGCAGCTAGGTATAGGTAGGTGCTGAGAAGGATGCTGAGAGGCATGTTGCACAGCAGTAGTCTAGAGGTACCAGGGCATTGGTACTTTAATGTATGGTCCCTTACCTCCATCTCTTCCAGGAGGCCACTACTCATTATGGTGACGTGTTCATTTCCACCAGGGACCAGGAAGCCATTGCTCATTTTCTACTTGCAGCCTTCTCTCACACTTTTAGGGAGACAAGCTTTATGTACCCCAGTCTCACTGTGTACTTTCTGACTTTGTGGGCCTTTTGCTACACAGGAATGATTTTTTTTCCTTCTAACCTTCTTTTTTATTTTATTTTATTTTTTTTAGTTTTTCGAGATAAGGTTTCTCTGTAGCTTTCAAGCCTGTCCTGGAACTAGCTCTTGTAGACCAGGCTGGCTCCGAACTCACAGAGATCCACCTGCCTCTGCCTCCCGAGCGCTGGGATTAAAGGTGTGCGCCACCACCACCCGGCTTCCTTCTAACTTTTTAATACTCAGTGAGTCCTACAGAGCGGGAACAAAGAGCTTGTCTTGTGTGACGGTGCCTACCAGCAACGGCTGGCTTGAACCCTCAGCACATTTCCCTCCAAGGGTTTGCTCAGCACACCTAAGTATCTCTTTTCCTGATAAGAAGGAAAAAGATGGCAGAGGTGCACTGTTCTTACTACCATTTTCAAACAGCATCTTACTGTGTAGCCCAGGTTAGGCTTGAATTCATGGCAGTCCCTTACCTCAGCCTCCCAAGTGCTGGAATTGCAGGGGTGAGCCGCCACACCTGCTAAAATGTTGGGTTGAGTTTGGTGACTCCAGAAAGGCAAGGCCTTCCCATTTTACCCTGATTCTGTGTTTTTGCAATACTGGTATGGAATTGCTGGGCCACGGACAGTGCTAGACAGGCATTCTACCCCTGATCTGCTGCCCGGCCCTGTTTTGTTTTCTTTTTACCAATTTTCTTCACCTGGCATTGATTTTGCCTATGTGAGCCAGAAAGAAGAGTCCCCGGTCTGCATACAGGAGTGGTAGTGGGGCCTTGGCTAACAGGCTCGGGGTAGAGCCTGGCAGGCGGGCAGGTCACAGCCCCTGGGTCTGAACTGACTGTCTGCTTTCAGGACTGCCAACAGTGGTGAAGTTGGTAGACAGAGACACCTTACTGAAGGAGAAGGAAGAGAAGAAAAGGGTTAGTAAAGCAAAGTGATGGCACTTGAGTTTGCTGAAAATGAAAACACTAATGCTGTTTGGTTTTTATGTTGCTTTAAGAATGGATGTTTGTGCTTTGTTTAAAATTCCTGGGGCATGGTGGCACACTCCTTTAATCCCAGCATCGGGGAGTCAGAGGCAGCAAATCTTCAAGGCCAGCCTAGTCTACAGAATGAGTTCCAGGATAGCCAGGGCCACACAGAGAAACCTTGTCTCGAAAAACAAAACAAACAAAAATATTCTGATCCTTATAAATATCATGAAAAGTTAACTGGGTAGGTAACTACTTCAGAAAGGGGGTCCTTTGGCTAGGTATGGTGGTCCATTTCTTTAATGCCAACACTATTCAGGAGGCAGAGGCAGAGACAGGCATATCTCTGTGAATTTGAGACCAGTTGGGTTTACATAGTTCGTTCCAGGATACGTAGCGTGGCCTTGTCTTGACAAAATATAAAGGGCAGCAGTGGTCGAATTAGCCTTTTATTTTATTGAGTTTTTTTGAGACGTGGTTTCATGTTGCACAAGCTCAGGATTTAGCCAAGGCTGGCCTTGAACTCCTAATCCTCCTGCCATCCCAAGTGCTAGGATTACAGGGCTGCACCACAATTCCCATTACAAGTTACCTCTTGTTTTTGCTTGTTTGTTTGTGCTTAAATTTTCATTTGTTTATTTCTAGTGTGGTGTGAATATTTATGGGGGAGGCAGTAGGCAGGGTGGCTCAGCCCTTGGTGCAGCTTTTCTCATGGCTGTTAGTATTGCTCAGCTCCTCCTGATTTCCCTGGGTTATACATCCCAACCCTTGATAAACAAAAACATATTTCTTCCTATCTGTGTATGCGTATGTGTGAGTGTCTACCACAGGTGCGCAGGTACCCGCAGAGGCCAGAAATAAGCACTGGGTTCTGACACGGGCGCTAGGAATCATACTTGGGTCCTCTGCAAGAACAGCGAGTGCTGTTCACTGCTGAGTCATCTTCCATCCCCAGTCTTTTTTAAAGTTCGATGTTATTCTCATTTATGTCCAAGTCTGTGTAACTGTATGCCACATGTTTATGGGTGCCCATGGGAGCCAGAACAAAGTGTCAGATCCCCATGAAGCTGTAGTTACATGTAGTTGTGACCTACCTAAAAAAGTGCTAGGAACAAAGCTCTGGTCATGTTTAAGTGAGTTGACGCTACAGGCCCCCATCCTCTTCTTGATGAACTTGATGCCCACTTGGCCTTGGAGGCGTTGATCACCTCCAGGACACGAAGTCACACACCTCTGGATTATGGCCTGCATGAACTTGGTGTATTCGGTGAGATGCCAGCTATGCCTCGACTTGCTGAAGTTCTTTGTCACATTGATGAGATCCACTATGGGACAGCTCAGAGTCATGGCTGCTGCCCTGCCGTGGCTGCCATGATAGGAAGGACAGTACTGCATGGAATAAGTGACCAGTTCTTAAAAGGAATTCCTCAGCTAAAATGAAGCTCATCGCTTAGGAAGTGTGTGTGTGTGTGTGTGTGTGTGTGTGTGTGTGTGTGTGTGTGTATGTGCGTGCGCGCGTGTGTGTGTGTGTGCGTGCGCACACGCTACCTGGCTCTCACCTGGTGCCACGTGTCCGAGGTGCTGCCGTTTGCCCTGCTCATTCTGTCTGCTTGTCCTCCAAGTGTTCCTCTTTCTGTCCCCACTCTCAGTGATGGGTAGGGCCCCTGCATGTAAGGACTTGGGTGCCACATGGGAGAAAGAACAGAAACATGTTGTCATGGTAAGTACAGTGATGCACATCTATAACCTCAGTAACCAAGAGGCTGAGCCAGGGGGATTACTGTGAGCAGGCTAACCTGAGCTATACAGCATGACACTGTTTAAAAAAAAAAAAAAAAGACTCACTATCATTCATAATTCTGGATGCAGTGAATGGCACCTTGGGGTCATTGTGCTCCATGGGCCAGGCATAGGCAGGCACCATTAGGTGAACACCAGCTTGGAGAGCAGGCTCAGGGCAGCTCTCCCAGCAACCTTTGAAAAAGGATCATAGCTGATAGTTGGGTGACTGAGGGCTGACATACAGGGTTAAGGACAAGCACCATGGGTAGGGCCTGGCAGGACAGCAGGGTGGGCTCATGTCTCAGTCATGTGCTGCTTTCCTAGGCTGAAGAAGAGAAGAGGAGGAAGAAAGAGGAGGCGGCCAGGAAGAAACAGGAGCAAGAAGTAACTATTTCGCTTGTTTGTTTGGGGTGCAGGATCTCCTGGGCAAAAATCACACCTTTATCCCTGAGGCTCAGTGCTCTGTGCCTTCTTTGGGCACAGGCATCCTGAGAAGCCTCCCGGAGGGAGCTGGCCTCTGCCTCCACCCCTCAGTTGGTGTCTTGGCATCAGCAAAGGAAAGGTTACCCTTGGTGGGTTCCCAGTGCCAACAACGCCACAGTCCTGCCATCTGAGGATTGCTGCAGGCCCACGGGCCTCTGGATGCTTAGGAGTTCTTTTTGCTCCCTGCTATTGGTTGCTCCTCCCAGTCTTCTGGGCTTATGTTGAGTTTAATAGCTTGGAAGTGGTGCAATAGACAGCATGGTGGTGGGCAAGCTTGTGTGACATGTGTGTTTACATGTGTGTGTGTTGTGTGTTCTAGGCAGCTAAGCTGGCCAAGATGAAGATTCCACCCAGTGAAATGTTCCTGTCAGAAATCAACAAGTATTCCAAATTTGATGAAAATGTAAGACAACACCTCACTCTTCAAACTTTGGTCTCCCACATCCTCCAAGATGGAGTCCAGGGACTTTCAGCCTTGGGCCAGTGGGCTTCTTGTTTGAGGAGAAGGCTGTGAGGGCAGCTAGGATCATGCAGCTCCTGTCAGGGCAAAGGCTAAGCGAAGCTTTCTCTGCTAGTTATATGGTGCGCTCTGGCACTGGAATATGACCCCAGGTCCAGTTTAAGGTGACAGAAAGGAATCTGCAGGTTCTATGGGGATCCTCCCAAATGCCCCAAGTGCAAGGTCATAACCCCGCCTTCTCCCTGGAGGGTCTTGGTGTCCCTTCAGTGTCTCCCTGAAGACTCATCATTACATAACTCTCCCTGGCCACACAGAGGTGTAGTGACACGCACCGGTGATCCCAGCACTTCGGAGATGGAGGGAGAAGGATCTCAAGTTTGAAGGCAGCCCCTATCTTTTTGTTTTGTTTTGTTTTGTTTTGTTTGAGATAGGGTTTCTCTGTAGCTCTGGCTGTCTGTCCTGTCACTCACTCTATAATCTAGGCTGACCTTGAATTCAGAGATCTGTCTGCCTCTGCCTTCTGAGTGCCAGGGTTAAAGGGATAAGCCACTGCTACACAGCCAGTCCCAATTTTGAGATGTGTTCCACCTCAGAAACACATTAGATAAACAAGGGCCTGGATGCTGACCCTGAGTCTAAATACAGCCAAGTCAGGGAGAGAGGTGTTTTCTCTCAGCAGGGATGAGGCATAAACGGAGAAGGGAACTGATGGCGTCTATGTGGTCCTTGCAGGGTCTGCCTACCCACGACATTGAAGGCAAAGAGCTGAGCAAGGGACAGGTCAAGAAGCTGAAGAAGGTCTTTGAAGCCCAGGAGAAACTGTACAAGGAGTATTTGCAGATGTTGCAGAATGGCAGCCTACAGTGATGCCACAGCAACCCAGAATGGGTATACCTACCAGCCTGGCCACCATGGACCAAGAGACACACCTACTCAGGCCCTGTGCCCTGGTCATGTTTACAGCTGTTCTCACACCTGAATCAGACAGAGTGGCAGCAGCTCTGGGACACTGATAATAAATTCTTCTGAACATTGAAGCCTGCTCTGCCCTCTCAGCACTTGGAGAGCTGGCCTGTGGGTGCCTGGTCAGCAACTTACAACATAGGCCTCCTAGTCAATTGAGCCCCTTCAGCCAGCCTGTCCGAGGAATTTCCCTCACACTGGGAAGCTGGGCTAATCTCTACTGCGTTGGCACATTTGGTGGTATTGGAGTAGGAAAAAGACTGAATCAGCCCAGCAGATCCCCCTGAGCCTCAGACAAAGGCTGCTCAGTTGGTTCTCTGGCTCCAATGAACACACACTGCATGTTTCCCAGAGCAACTGACGGTGGCAGCAGGACAGTTACCCTGTGGGATAGGGCTCTGGCAAGCTGCCTGGGACTGCTGTTATGACAGCAAGCCCAGATCAGCACCACTGGCTTGTGCGATAAGGGGTCTTTAGGTCCAGGCCTAAGTGTGTTTCCTCCCCACCTTTTCCCATCTGGTTGCTCACCCCTGCTAAGAATTCAGCACCCATGCTGAGTGTGTCTGGCCTTCTCTGATTAAAAAAAGAGTATGGACAGCAGCCAGAACCTGAGTGGTACCTCTGGAACTTCCAGAGACAGATGTGAATCCCAGATGCCACAGAGCTCATGTGTCAAGTGTACTGATGATTTTATAAATCTGCTTCCTCTTTGTCCTTGTGACAGACTTTGTTGAGAACTATCCTGGAGACAACTGTACCAGCCTGGGGTACCATAGGCACATGTTGTAGAGTATAGCAGGGTGAGTCTGCAGGAGGCCATACAGTCGGTCAGATAGTCATAGTCAGATGGGGTATTCTGAGGTGTGCACCTGGGTACCTTGTATCTCTGTGGTCTCTCACGAGGCTCCAGTGTATCTCAACAGGTGGCTGTCCTGAGAGAGAAGGCACTGGGTGGCTTTTAGCATGGAGCCTCACAGGTCAGCACAGTCCCTCCTTGGGCTCTGTTTAGAAGCACCCATGTTACCGTGAGGAGATAAGACAAGTTCCCAGAAAGGGTGGGGGCTGGAGAGGCCACAATGCTATAAGTCAGGCAGTTTCTAAGAAGAGGTTCACTGTGTCTCAGCTGCAGTAGTACAGAGGGGTGAATGAGCTGCAGCTTGGCTGTTGGCATCCATAGGTATTGCACACACAGGCAAGACCACTGAACAACACCCCAACTTCGATCTGAGGCAAAGAAAGGAACAGCAGTGCATTGTGATTGGACAGAGCAGGATGGAGGCACCAACACTGGGTCCCTCCAGGCATTACAGGTGGGGAAACTGGCAGAGTGGGGCAGCAGGGCAGCCTAGACCTTAAATGTTTTCCTCTGGCAGTGGGCACAGTCATGAGAAGTGGTCTGCTCACAAAGGAACAAGGGACAACCTGGTGACACATAGCTGGGTCTCAAGTACATATATAAGGGAGAAAGTACCAAATCTTCAAAAATCCCACGTGGCTGATTCTCAAGTAATTTTCTTTTCTTTTTGGTTTTGAGACAGTTTCTCTGTAGTTTTGGAGCTTGTTTGGAACTAGCTCTTGTAGACCAGGCTGGCCTGGAACTCACAGAGATCCACCTGTCTCTGCCTTTCGGGTACTGGAATTAAAGGCGTGCACCACTACCACCCGGTGATATTTTCTAATCTAAACTGCAGAGGTGGCAATGACAGGACAGCCCTGCTGTGTGACATGCTATGGACCCAAGCACTCTCACTGCCAATGTCTGCCACTGGCATTGATCTCATGCGTTGCTCATGGAAGAGGAAACATTTGGAAAGTGTAGGGGGTTTAAGTCTAATAGAACTAGTGTTGCTGGAAGATGGAACCCAGACATGCAGAGAAAGTGACACAGAACACAGAGGCAGAGGCTTCCAGGGGTTGCCAGGCCATGCCCCAACCCTGGTTCTACACAGCCAGTGAGAAAGTGTTCCTGGTACAGCAAGCTCCTGGTTTGTGATGCTTCTTCACAGTGGCCACAAGAAGCAGACGCCATTCTCCCCTGCTCTCTGCAGCAGAAAAAAAGAGGTGTGAACTAATGTTTGATTTAACAAGCAGAGCTCAGAAGAAGTGTTACAAAGGGCCCGCTAGTGTGTGGGAAAACATTCTGTAGTGTAATTGAGGCTGGGAAAACTCAGTATTTCAAAGTACCTAGTAGGACTAGAGATGGCTCAGCAGTTAAGAGCATAGTTTGCTCCTCCAGAGGCCCTGGGTTAGTACCCAGCACCCACTTTGGGTGGCTCACAGCCTCCTATAACTCCAGTTCCAAGAACTCCAATGCCTTTGCCCTCTATGGACACCTGTACACAGATGCGCACGCTCACACTCAGGCACACACATAGATTAAAAAAAAAAAGTATTCAAAATAGCTAGGAGACAGGGTTGTCAGTGTTCCCAACACAAATGTCTGGAGTGACAGATGTATTGATCGAATTGCTATGTGGTGAGCATGCATAGAAACGTCATTTGCTACCTTAATTATGTAAAATCGCCATGTCCATTAGAAATAAAGACACTAAAGAATGCTCAAAAGCAAGCATGGCACACACCTTTGGGATTTCTGTAAGTTCCAGGCCACCAGTCTTCCTATAGGCAAGTGAATTTGTCCCCTAATTTTATTAATTTGGTCTTAGACATCCTCACCCTGTAGCTCAAGCTGGCCTGGGACGCACTGTGTAGCCTCACTTGCCTAGAAATTGTGGCCGTTCTCTTGCCTTAGCCTCCTAGGTTATAGAATTTCAGGCATGAGCCACCATACCCAGCTTGTTACCTAATTTTATAACAGACCTTTGCACCAATAGCAGACTTGAAAGCAACTCCACCCGAGTCTAGCTTGATGCACAGTGAATTCACCAGACTTACAGGAGCATGGGCAATCCCAAAACAGCCACCATCACTGATCTCACTCCAGCATGGCTTTCCCATTGATTCAGTGATGGAGTCCTGACCCCTGAGCTTTAACCTTCTACCCTCTGTACACTAGCATCTGCCAAGCTATGCAGCTGAAGCAGAATTACATACAGGGAGGAAAATGCAGGAGAAAGTATCCCAGGTGAGGGTCTAATGACCGTTCTCACCACATCTTGTGAGGGGACATTAACAGGCTGGATCTGGAATCTCTTGCAGGAAGTCGCACCTATGCTAATAAAGATGGTAATGACTGTACATCTTGTAGGGTCCAAAGAGCTGCTCTTCAGGGGGCTGACTTAGTGGGGTTTTCCAAGTTCCTGCTGGGAAATTCCAGGCCAGGCGCTTACATCAGAAGATGCCAGAGTACCCAGACCCACTAGGTACCTATATGATAACCTGCTGGCTAGGAATACAGTCTGGCATGACCTTCGCAGCTAATCACTATCTGACACATGAGTGGGACAGAGGCACCTGCCCCTAAGGATACCTCCCTTGTGGGCTCCTCTGCACTGGGTAGGAATATGAGCCAACCTGAGATAGTCATAGGCCCTATGTTGTGCCATACTGCTGGCTGCTGGCTACTGTAGGGCTCCCAAATCCTTTCCTCCAAAAGCCCTGACACTTTAGGGGTGTGGAGGTAGGAGCAAGAGACAGGTGTTGAGAGAGCCGCATACTCAAATGACTTGAGTGAAAGAAGGCACAACAGTGATGGTGGGAGTTCTGGCTGGAAGCAAAGGCTTCTCAGAGAACTTAAATGGTAGGAGGAGGGGCTTAGGTGGAGCATGTAGACAGAAGGGACTTTGACATTGTTCTCAACTTTCTTCCAAACTCCTAAGAGGTCTAGAGTGGACAGCTACCGCGCCAGCGCGGTCTGGAACCAAGAGTCTCCGCGGAGGGTGTCCAGGTTGAATGAATTCACAGAGCACGAGGTTGAGGTGGAACAGCTTCTTTATTGTTCTGCTGGGGCTAGCTTTTATACCATGGCACCAAAAGAGGAGGGGGCTGCGAAGGGACTGTCACCTGACCCCAGCAGGGATCAAGGACTGATCATGAGCACTCAAACTTCCTTATCCAACTCCAGGAGCAGAGGGAAGTTATGTTTTCTTTGCAGATAAGCACCTAAAATGGGGGCAGGGAAATGTAACTCGGGGCGGCAATTCCCACAGACAGCCAGGGTATGGACAGCTCCAGAGGCAGGCAGGTGTACTTCCGGTGACATCCAAGCCAAAAGTGAACCTGTGAACTGAACTGGCTGTTCTAGCCACTCAAATGGCTGTTCGAGATAGGCATGGTGGTGCAGGCTGTGCAATCCCCATCTGTTTTGGAGGCTATGGCAGCAGGATCATGAATTTAAGGCCAGTCTGAGCCACAGAGTGAGTTCAAGGCCTGCTTGGGTCATTTAATGAGACCACCCAAAAATATAGCTCAGTGGTTGAGTGCTTGCCTAGCATATGCCAAGCCCTGGGTTTAATTGCTTTGGAGGGAAAATTTTTCAGAATTGGTCTTCAACTCAGAATATAAATCCCATCACCCTGGCTGCCCTCAGCATTCGCTTTCCTGAGCACAGGGCCTGTGTGGGACTGAGCCACTCTGAGGGGTAGAACTAAAGGGATATGCTAGGCTGCAGTTTCTGGCTGCTAGGACCTTGGGTAGTTGAATTCCTTCCCTTGTTACTATTACATAGGTGGGCAGGAGATGATGAGAACAGCTAATACTGGCCTCATGTTGACAACTCACCTAGTGCTACTCCAAACCTCCCCCAAGGAGGCACATGGAGAAACAGGCACAGGTTCTTACACATGGGCACCAGCTTGTTAGGAGTCTTACTCAGAGTCCCTACCCCTTAAACTCTGCCTGATAGCATCTTCACAGCCAGACATCACAAACTACCAAAACCCTGCTTTAGCATCAGGTGAGATGCACAGGCCCCCACCCCTCCAGTTATGTTCAACCCCCAATTCCTTTGCCTATGCATGTGACATCTGGAGATGGCCTTAGAGGTGTAATCCCATCACAATGAAATCGTGAGCATGGGCCTAGAACTGGGACCTAAGGGAAGGTCATGTGCACACAGAAGCTGGCATTACATGGCTGCAAACACCAGCCAAGGAAGGCTTGGAGTGCCAGGAGCTGGAAGATACAAGGAGAGAGGCCCCACATACCCCAAACCCTGGCAAGAGTCCAGCTCAGCTGCTATATACTCATTTCAGTCTTCTACTCTCCAAAGTTCGCTCCTGGCTAGGCCAGGGCTGCTTGGGTGTAGCAACTCAGGAAGGCATTCTCAAAGTCCTTACAAATGGGAAGGTTTGGGGAGAATGTTGCCCACCTGCTAGTCCCCCACCTCCATCAGATTCAGGAACCAGGACCAGTTCCACCATCTTGATGCCACCCACACTAACCCCAAGGTGGGGTAAATGCCATGACAGAAAGTAGACCTGAGACTAAACAGACCCTCCAATTTGAAAATGCTGGCATTCCTTTCTTCTGTAGTTTCTTTTGACTTTGCTTCTTTTCCCCTTTCTCTTTCACTCTTACCAAAGGCAAAGCCTGGTGGTGAAGGAAGAGGCAGGAGTGTCCCCATGTATAGCAGAGCTGACTGAGTGGGACACAATCTAGGCACGGCTGAGATCTGGAACCAGTTATCATGGTCAGCATTGCCAATGCAAGAAACTAGAACACCTCTTAATTCTGGGCAGGACCATTCCCTGGATGGGGGATCCCGGACTGCATGAAAAGGAGAAAGAGGGCTGAGCACCAGCCCTGCTGCTTGGGACTGTGGACTTAACTATGACCAGCTGGTCCTGTCACCTTGACATCGCCACCATGATGGACTGAGTGTACCTTGTACTGTGAATTAAACCCTTTCTCCTTTAGGTTGTTTGACAGGTGAAAACCCAGTTAAGACAGCAACCCCTCCTGTTGTCAACTCCTTCATTAGGAGCATTCAGGTGGTTTTAAACTTTTTCCTGTTATAAACAGTACAGAGCAGGAATTGTTTGCTAAAAATATCAGACCGAAATTGTTTCTAAAGTATCCTTCACCCGATGAAAGGATTAATTTCTAAGAAATGATCATTTGTTCATCCCTGCCTGGGAACCTTCTTTGCTAGCCAAATTGGATGTTTTTCTATAAACCGACATGGGGAGGCTGATGCTGGTACCCAAGTCCCTGCTCTGGTTACAAGTTACACAGAGGAAACACCTCCCTGGTCCCCTAGTCAGCAGTAGTGGAGAGACAGTCCAGTACTACTACCAGTAGCCTGATGCATTTCTTTCCTCCTTAGGGACCTCCCTCCACTCAGGTAAAACTGACTATGCTACAGAAAAGAATTTCAGGACAAGTCATAGTGAAGCAAAGTTAGCATGAATATTAAACAGAGATAAAAATAATTCATGCTTTGGATCTAAGTGTAGGTATTGCTCAAGAGAGACAGTCTTGGATGAAAGACTGTTCATATGTAAGACTTGAGTGCAGGCTGCTGAAAGCCAGATTTACACTAGCTTAAGAGCAGCTGTTGATGGAACCCTGTGACTCTCCAGATCAGAATACTCAAAGGATTTACAGCAACAGTTAAAGATTAAGTTAAATTGGGAAGTGGTGGCACATGCCTTTAATCCCAGTACTAGAGAGGCAGAGGCAGGTGGGTCTCTGAGTTCAAGGCAAACCTGGTCTACAGAGCAAGTTTCAGGACAGCTAGGACTACACAGAGAAACATGGTCTCAAAAAACAAAATAAAAAGATTAAACTTAAAATTTTAGTAAAGTTAAAAAATAAGTAGTACCATGCTTTAGACTACCCCCATGCCCATGCTCTGGGCTGTGTCTCTATGCTGAGCGCCTCTCAACCCCAATGCTTCAGCCCATATTCATATAGCTTTATTAATCCAGGTATGGTAGTGACTCTTTAATCCTACTACCCAGGAGGCAGAAGCAGGCAGTTATCTGTGAGTTCAAGGACAGCCAGGGTTACATAGTGTGACCCTGTCTGAAAAATAATAAATAATTAAGTATCTTAAGCTTGTTACCAGTTGTTGGGATCTGAGTGTTTTATTCAAGGAATTGAAATAAAGCTACATACAGAATGCAAAAGTAGCAAGGAAAATTTATTACTTATACAAAAGTAATAAAACAGATCAGAAATACTCTGTGACAGTGGACCATAGAGTGAGAAAGTGCCCAAGGGCCCAAGGCCCTTTTTTTTTTTAAGCTTTTTTTTTTTCTAAAAAAAAAAAGGACTTAAAAATTTTTATATGTGAGGGCTGGAGAGATGGCTCAGAGGTTAAGAGCATTGCCTGCTCTTCCAAAGGTCCTGAGTTCAAATCCCAGCAACCACATGGTGGCTTGCAACCATCTGTAATGGGGTCTAGTGTCCTCTTCTGACCTGCTGGCATACACACAGACAGAATATTGTATACATAATAAATAAATAAATATTAAAAAAAATTTTTATATGTTTGGGGCTCTCAGAGACTGCCAAGTGCAGTATTAAAAGAGGGGTATATGTACAGCCCAAACCAAATGGAGTCCCTGGCTGCTAAACTATTTTCTGTTTGTCTGCTGTGCTTTAACCACTTCCCACTCATCCCACTCCCCAAATAAAAATTACGTAAAAACATATGAACTTACTTTTTTAAAATTTTGTAAATGAAACTTTCTATAGTACATAGTTTCAGTTTAAGGACGGTAGAGAAGTAATACAATAAGACTCACCGCTGTAAACCCCTGGACTTCAGCAAACACACTTCATTGTGATTTTTTTTTTTTTTTTGAGTTTTACTTAGGCGACAAGGTCTCACGTAGCTTAGGCTGGCCCTAAACTTGCTACGTAGTTTGCCTTAGGCTGGCCCTAAACTTGCTGTGTAGCTAAAAGTGACAACCGGCTCAGCCTCTCACCTCCACCTCTCATCTAACACGCCTCACCACACCCAGTTGTTTTCAAAGCCCCTGTTTGTAGACATTAGGAAGACACGCACGCGTCTGCAGCTAGTTTGTTTTTTATCAGGTGTGTTGAAGTTTTCTGAGGATCTGCAGAGCAGCCGCAGGGCAGGTACACACCACCTGATTGAGGTTCGAAAGGCCTTGGGAGGTAAGCGGTGCTTTCCCCGGACCAGGGGGGGCGGGCAGGTAACCTGCGGAGAGCACTGCCGACAGGCCCAGGACACAAATTTTGTAGGCTCAAAATACAACAGATCCCCAAAACCTCCACGCGCCCCAGCAGCCCCTTTAAAAAAGGCGCGGAACTGCGCGTGCGCCGGAATATACGTCATGACCTCATTTACATATAGCTCGCGGGCTTGAGCGCGGCGCCGTGCTCCCTCAACGGCTTTTGATTGGATGCCGCCTCTACCAGCGCCGAGGTGCAGTTGACAGACAGCTCTATTGCCAATTCACAGCCCGTTTTGTTACCAGAGGGCGGAGCCTGGCGACGCGGCCAGTGGCAGGTGGCCTTGTTGACGGCCACGGCGGCGTAGCCCCGGAGCGAGCTTTACACGGGCGCCAGTGCCGCAGGAGGCGCGAGGTGAGATCCCGGCGGGTAACGGCGCGGCGGGCGGCTGGACAGGG